CCCGCTTTGCCCACACCCGCCTCACCCGCCCGTGCAAGCTACCTTGCAGGGGTTCATCATTTTCGGCAGGCCGAGCAGCAAGAGCGGAAGCTTCATCGAGAACTTCTTCGGCAACTAGACGCCTCCCCTCCCAGCAGCCCCACCCGCGTACTCCTCTGCAGCCGACGTCTCTACGCCTCCAGCCTGCCGACAGGGCGACTGCCTCTCTGGCGGACGTGCGACGGCGTTTGGACGCGCCGCCGAGGTAGCACCTCCTCCACGCCGCAGCCCCTCGTTGTCCCCCCTCCCCCCTTTCCACACATGTACATGTGGTCGCACGTGATTTTCCCGCCGCCCCCCCCCCCCCCGCCCTCGTGACACGTGACGTCTGAGGACGGGCCCGCCAACTCTGTCGCGGTGGCGTCCTTCGTTTGTTGTGTGCCTCATCTCGTGTGCCTCTGTCTCAAGAAGACACTCAGGCCGCGCCAGAATTTTCTTTTTCCTTGCGATGGTACGCCGGGCGCAGCCCCAACTCTTGCCGCTCTTCCGTGTCGGGTTGTGACGAGGGGTGAGGGGACACGGATTGAAGATCCCTCACACCAAGATCGTGCAGGGCGGGGACACACGTCCCTAAATCTCATCTTCCTATCAGGGCGTCGGCGTTTTCTTTATTTATTTACGCCGGGCGCGCCGCCTGCCGCCGCCGACGGGGACCACACTGCCACATTACTATCCTTTAACAGTATGTCGGCTTTCCGTCTGACTTGCGGCAAGTCGAAGTGCACTGCTCTCACGTTCCGCCGATGCGCATCGATCGACGCCTCAGCCGCCTCTGCCGCTGCCACCGCCTCCGCAGCCGCCTGGCTGTCGCCGCTTAGCGCGTCCGTCGCCCGCCGAACGGCCATCACCGAAGCTTTGCTATCCGATCGGCCACGCGTCCACCAGTCGTTTCTCTACGACGCCCGCGGGGTCGCTCTGTACGAGGGCATCCTCGGCACGCCCGAGTATTATCTGCCCGCTGCGGAGGAGGCGCTGCTGCAGGCGAACCTCGACGCGCTCACCGCGCCACTCTCGTCCCGTCTCGCGCTCGTCGAGCTCGGCGCGGGCGACGGAGGGCGGACGCGCAGGCTCGTGGAGCGAGCAGCCGCGCAGGCCGCTGGCCGTAGAAACATGCGCCGTATTCAGACCGCAGGGCACTGCCTCCACACGCACTCACGAGTGCATGGCCGTGTAAAGGAGGCATGGCCGCTGGTCGTCTTCAACTGAACCCTCAGCCTCACCACACTAGCCTCGCCGCGCTAGCCGTCACCCCACTTTAGCCTTCACGGCTAGCCTTCGCCCCACACTAGGCTGCGGAGCCACTGGTCTACGCCCCGGCCGACATCAGCGCAGAGTCTCTCTCGCTCAACGAGGCTGGCTTCCGCGGCTCGGAGCCACTCGCCGCCCGGAGGGCGGTCTGCGCGCCCATCCTAGCGGACCACGAGGCTGCGATCGACGCCGCAGGCGAGAGTGCCCCCCCCCCCCCCCCCCCCTGAAAAAAAAACCCTTCCTTAAAAAACCTTTCCCTTAATCCCGTGTGCCCCGCCCTCTCCTCCAAGGTAGCCCAGGGTCACCCCGGGGCACCCCGGGGGGGGGGGGGTGGCCTCCCTGCCGGCGGACCCGCGGAGACCGCCAGGGGGGCCTCCCTCCCCCGGCACACTTTTCCCGTGGAGGGAGGGGGCGGTCCTGGCCCCTGAGGGGGGGCAAAGCTGT